CCCTACAATGAGAGACTGCGGGACCTGAACCTGTTCAGCCTTCACAAGAGAAGGCTGAGGGGGGACCTGGTGACAGTCTATAAACTCACTAGGGGGGACCAGAAGGCTTTGGGAGAGACCTTGTTTCCCCTAACACCCCCTGGCATAACAAGGAATAATGGCCACAAGTTGCTGGAGAGTAGGTTTAGATTAGACATCCGCAAGAACTACTTCACAGTCAGGGTGGCTAGGATCTGGAACCAGCTTCCAAGGGAAATGGTGCTGGCTCCTACCCTGGGGGTCTTTAAGAGGAGGCTTGATGCCCATCTAGCTGGGGTCATTTGAGCCCAGTTTTTTCTCCTGCCCAGGCAGGGGGTCGGACTTGAAAATCTACAAGGTCCCTTCCGACCCTACTTCTATGATTCTATAAAGACCTTGGCATTGAACATGGGGGCTGTTTCAAGACCTTGCTGTAGTTCTTGGCTGGAGCCAAATATCAGACCTGGCCTGGACCTGCTCCACATTCAATCTGACTTTACAAACCAGCCATAAAAACAGACTGTGTAGAATAATAGAACAATGCAGAACATTATTATAGCTGGTCTTCAATTTTATGGTGCTTTAAAATTGGGTTCACATGTAGCACTCTTTCATTTATGCCGCGATTAATGTGTTAATTGTGGCATAAATATAATATGTAAAGACAGCCCTAAGCATATATGAAATTGAAAGTAACAAATCATTTAAACAACGTAGCTGTTACTACAATGGGTCTTCCAGAGGTGCTCACAAGGCAAAGTAAAGCACGAACAGCTAATAAAGATATTCATTTTTCATTTTCAAAGTCATATGAAGGAACAAAACTGAGATGCGATAGTCAGCTGCTGAATTGCACTTAGATTCATTTCATAACAATGGTTTGGCATCCAGGAATGTGTGTGTGCCAAATGTACTGCTGTATATACTGTTCCAAGGCAAGATCAGTTTTCAGTCAGCAATTTTCAGACTCTGCCCTTTTTTGTTGTAGTCAGAATACTGTGTGTGGCTCTTGAAACTTTCCAGCAAAGACAAAAAATTATCTTAACAGCTATGAATAGTCTGATTACAGAAACCTGCAAGATTTGCGAAGAGGACATTTCCTAAGGAAGTAACAAAGGCTTTAAAAATCGATAGCATCTGATATGTACACTGCACCTTTTCTAGAATGAAAGAACCAATATATAGCATTTAACTATTTTCAGGAATAGCAGAATATAGTGTGTGAGCTTTGGCACCCAACATGCAGTAATTTATATCTCAAACTAATTTACAAATAAACCTTCCTTCCACGTTTTCTAATTAACCCAACCATCTTATCCTTGGAGCTAAAAATTTTCAGCTTAACCATCCTTTTATTTCAATTTATTTATTTGCTAGTGTTACTTAAGTTTTAACTGCAATCCTCTTAGATGACTGAAAACAAACAACTTTTTTAATTTAAAAAATGTCTAACTTCTTTGGAATCCAACTCCACCATGTGGAGAGCTCTGTCTCATTCTCTCCTAAATGGGCACCCTTATGTGCTTCTATAATGTTGTGATTTAGGTCAACACAACTCAGCAGGGAGCAAGACATCTAGCTAACACATGGTAGCACTGACTTCAGTGTAACCACTCCATTTGACTAGGGCACTTTTTCAGGAAGTGAGAGATCTAGGGTCTAGGCCCTAATCATGCTCAAGGGATTTGTTCTAACTTCCAGAATACAGGCTAGCAGGCCTAAGATCATTCTCCCTTTCTCTCTTTGGAAACAGGGCACCGGAAAGGAAAAGAATACAAGAGTCAGGCTGCAAAAGAAGCCAAGTAAGAGGAAGCTTGACGGTAGCCCAGTATGGAGGGCACTTTCCTGGGACTGGTAGAGCATGGATTATGCTCCTAATGTTCTAAATCCCCAAATCATTTTACATTGAATAATCATTGGACAAAATTCATAAACAGCATATAAGGCAAGGACCCAGGGCTCCCTCTAACCAAACATTAATTCAGTGTGGTTTTCCTCCACATAAGGAATCAGAGACTGAGACTAAATTTATGTGCCACACAGACAGAACTGGACCACAACCCAGCTTAGGTAGAAAGCTGGATGTCTACATGGCCATCCTGGGTTACCTCAGAGTAGGCACATTAGGCCAAAACTACTTGCGTCAATCTTTTCAAGCCAAAACAGAACACAAGGAAGCCAGGAGTTTCATATGTATTGCCTGTAGTGCCCAGAAGCCAAATAACTCCTACTATAGTGTATAAGAGGTGAAACAGAAACTAGGCCAAAGACCCCAGATGTACAAATTATTCTGCATATGCAGCCTCTTTCATCCATGAAGACACCCAGTGAAGTTATTAGGACTACCTGGAAATGTAAGGGAATGGTAATAAAAATGGTACTGGAAAAGTAACACGCCACTAGCCACATAACAAAAGGACAAAAGTCTAAACTGTGCGCACACTGCAATGGTGAGGGAGTGAAGCATCACACGAAGTGGACACCCACAAACACTGGTTACAGAACTGAAGAGGTGAGTGAATTTTGGCAGCAGCATTTCAAATATGCTGGGTTGTGGCAGGCTTGTGTTTAGAAATGAATGGGAGATATTGCAATAGTCAAGTTGGAAGATGAAGCAGTAGAGCACAGATAAGCAATTCTGTCACTGGAGAGAATGGAAGGGAAGGATATTTTAAAGGTTTCAGAAAAGCATAATAATAGTTATGATGTTAATTTTTTTAAGTTTATAAAGACCTTCAAAGCTATGAATATGGCAGCATGCCAGGTTTTTCTTTAACATACTTTAGAGAAACAGTAAATACAAAACAAAACTGTAACAATAAAAATACATTCATGTTCCATAAAACAAGCAAAGCAAAACAGCAAGAAACTGCTCAAATTTCTAACCGAAAACATAAAGCCAAATGTTATTTAGCTGGTAGGATTATAATTTTAAAGCCAGTTTCAGGGTTATATTCTCTACAGATTTTGTTTCGTTGGTCAAAGAACCATAATCCTTTCAATGTTGCACTAATGGCAATGCCTTACCAGTGTAGATGCTGGCATTAGAAGCTGGGATGCCAAACTGTGACTCGATGAACTTGGGAATGAAGGTAATAAAAGCAGTAACAATGGCACTCTCAGCTGTGTATGACAAACTCACAAAAAGGAATGTCATGTTGCTTAAGATCCTGACAGCTGCTCTTGGAAGCTCTAAAAATGACAAAAGTGACAAACGAATGTTATAAATAATGAATGGAAAACAAAACAAAACAAACTGATTTTCTTTGACGTGGAACTCTAAATAATGGTTTGTTAGCATTTGGCCATATTGGCTAAATAAATAAGAAAAAAAGAGAGAGAGAGCAAGCAGGTTTGTGACTGGAAATATTTTCCTGTGTTCTGCTGCTTTCTTAACGTATCCCCTCTGGGGTTCTAATGCTACTCTGCAAAAGCACGGGGCTCTAATTACAAAAGCAGGGCCTTGAAAGCAATCTTGAAACAGCCAAAAAACAGGGTCACAATTGTAGTTTAAGTTGCTTCAAAATGTCTTTGATGAGTCTTTCATTTCCAATTATATAAATACCTTGATTTTTTTAAGTTACCTTGGGGATAATATTCAGGTTATATTTCTGTATCAACAACTTTTTTTGTACCCTTCATGATCAAAAAGTCCATATCCTGTATTGCTCTACCAACAACCTATTGCTTAAATTATTCTGCTTCAGATATACTGGTGATAATACCATAATCTGAAAATGTAACCAATATGATTTTGTAGTTAGTAAATTCTGTCAGTAATACAAAAACAAAGTGGAACATGATTTACAAAGCATATAAAATACAGCATTTGGGCAAGAATGCTCAGACAAGGATTTGCAAAAAAAGAGAATACAGAGCAGTGCTTTAAAAGGCACAACAATTCATAAATATTGAAATTATTCCAGAAACAATCATTGATAACCCAAAAATTCAGAACTGTGACAAACTTGAAATAAAGCTAAATGCACCATGGTATGGATATACATAGTTTAGGCATCTGAAGAACTTTTAACTCAGTACTCAAGTGAAACCATGTGATAACCATCTAATTAAGATTAATACATTCATCCATTTTCCCCCCCAGACTAAATGCATATAATTTTCAGACATTTTATTTTTAGTTGTTTGCTTTTTTTAATACTTTTTTCCTTTGGAGATTTTTCTACAATGCTGAGTCTGTAACTAACTTTACTTCCACTAATGTAGCTTTTCTGTCTAGGAAAAGCAAAGGAGATTGAAATAGCCAAGGTAGAAGATTAAGTATGGCATGGATAAGTGATTTGTTTGCTGGGGAGAATGGAGAGGAAGGATATTTTAAAGGTTGGATACAAAACTCCCTAAATTCTTTGAAAAGTTTTCCATTGACTTTGACAGAGTTTAAAATAACTTTTATACGTGGTTTATTAGGAAGCTGCTGAATTCTTGAATAGGTATACTGTCTGTGTTAGTGTGTGTTATGGGGAAATCCTACTCTCCTTGTTCTTCTGAGTTCATTGGGGTTATTTGTCTGAGTAAAATAAGCCAGTCAAAGCTGGTCAGGCTGCAAATGAGCATATATATTGGTCTGCTTCCAATTTTAATCTCTGCTGGTCCTGTAAAATTCTACTAAATGAATTACAGACAGAGGGAATTATCCTTTTGATCTAGTTTCAAATGTTTTCCTGTGGCTCTAAAAAGAAAAAAAATATATTAAATTTTAAAATCTAAAACATGATGGAGAGAGAAAGAACACACAAATTCTCCAGAACCCCTCTTATTTTGGATAGCTGCTGTTTTAAAACAACCATATGGTTAGGCCTGTAGCAAAAGTTACTGAAAAGTTATGATACTGAAATGATAAACCAAAAAGAAACAAGGTGACATTTGGGTATGAGGATGATATAAATGTCAGTACAAAAGCACAGAGAGGAAAATTAACGTTTCATGACAATGCCAAAATTACGTCGTTAAATACCTAAACTAAATTATGGACAGTGGTAAGTAAGAAAAGGAAGCATTGTTAAAATCCTGTGACAGTCATATTACAAATTCAGAACAAAAATGATACAGATCCAATTAAATACTGGTAAACTGCCCACTATTTAGTTTAAAAATAAAGGTAGGAGGTGAATCAAGGTCAACTAGAGCCCAAATGGAGCCAAATTTTTAAAAGCTGCTCAGATGTCCTTGCAACAGCCTGCACCCCCCAAGCGTGGCTGTTGAAGAAAACAGATGCTGCAGAGCAGGGAGAGGAGCTTTCTTTAGAACAGGTTGAGGATCAAATCAAGACACCCACATGACCTCAAAGTCCTGGACTACTGGAGAAGAGACTTTAAAATCACTAGTAGTTTAAAAACCACCAGCTGTACCCTCCCCCCTAAAAGAGTGGGCTGCGATTGCTGCAAGAACAAAGGAGACTGGGGAAGTTAAATCAGGAAAAGCCAGGGCTGATTTTACTGGTAACTGGATTTCAGTCCAAGTAGCTGGTGATTTTAAATTTAAGCAGTACACAACTGCTGCGGTCATAAGCACAGAAAACTCTAAATCAAAGCCTGGTGAATGTCTGTTATCTATCCAGGAAGAGCAGAAGAAGGAAGAAGCTGTGGCTGGCAAATATCCCTCTACAAAACCATCTTCTCCCAGAGTGGAAAATCCAGTGCAGTAAAGTAAGCTTTAAAAACTACAGGTACTACATTTACTTTTCCTTTTTCTTGTACTTTGTTTATGAAAACAACTGTCAATTATTTGAAGTATCCAGTAGATAATTTCACAGGAGTACTGAAATCTGACCCTTAAGCATCAGAATACTGTCCTCCAAAAGTACACTTCCACTGCTAGAAAAAAACTGGAGACAGTATTTGAGATTAAATTTGTAATTTCTTGTGTTTCAGGGAAGAGTAATAGTCCCCAATAAATGTGAAAAGAAAATAACCCAACATCAGTTTAGGTCACACTTTATTATATCAAATACTTCTACTCTGAACAAATAAATTTAACTGTAACATTACATTTTACAGTATGATTCTGCCACTTTTTCATATATATCAAACAATCATTTAAATCATCTCACTACAACTAGATCTCGTATGCATTCTCAGGACAGGCCTTACTACACATGAATAGCGGCCAAAGAGTTGAATAGCACGTCAAAACTCCATGCTCTTTATGGAATATTAAGTACATTTTCTGTTAGTATTACTTATTCACAACACAGTAGCATCTAAATTCTGAGACTGGTTCCCATTACGAGAGGCACCATACAAAAATATAGACCAATTAGACCAGGGGTGGGCAAAATACAGCCCACGGGCCGGATCCAGCCCACCAGGACATTCTATCCAGCCCACAGGGCCCCAAAAATTTAGAAAATTAATATTTATCTGCCCCTAGTTCCTGTCAAAGATGACAGGAGCAGTAGGACCCAAGGGAAGCCCCGCCTGGCCCCGCTCCCCCCTCCCCCCCCCGCAGCTGGAAACCCCTGCTGGG